CCGGCCCCAGCACCTTTTGCTGCAGCAGCCTCCGGCACGTTTTTAAACAAGAAAGCACAAAGCAACCAGAGAGGGACTGGGAGCCGGGGCATCGCCTGCCTCTCCCACCTTTGGGGGCCAGAGCCCCCCTGGCCAACGCTGCCGAACCGCGGAGGGAAGGGGAGAGGGGAGACCTGTCCCAGGGCGGAGGGCTGGGACCGGGAGGAAAAGGTTTCAGCGCCTGGGAGGCACACGAGAGCACCTGGGAGACCAGTGGGCGAGTCTGCACGGTCCAAAAGGCCAAATACTGCAAACAGGTGGAACCTGCCCATCTTCTGTGAATCACTCTTGTTCCCCGTCCCTTAGCAGGTGCGAAGCCACCGTCCCCTTGTTCCGCAGAGCCCCAGCTGATCCCCACAGATCCTGGCCCTGGCCAGCCCCGAGGCACTCAGCAGCCCCGCATCAGCCCCTTGCAGGCACCATCGCAGCCACCATGGAGTCCCACACCTAGAGACGCACTGCACTGGGAACCACCATGCCGTGGCACACACTGCCCGGCGACCAGCTCAAAAACTACTTTCTTCAAGATTTCATGCATTTACCATGAGGATAAATCAGAAAAAAAGGTTCTCCTGTTTTATTATGAAATGTGATTTTTGCCCAAGGGAAAGGAGCCATATTGCCATCCACTCTACAGCAAATTAAACACAGCTGGATGCAGGTAATGTCATCCTGGCTCCAGCAGGAACACTGCAATTTTATTTTTTGTGGATGAAAAGCAAGCTCCAAGCAGCCACTTCTGGAAAAACCCTGCCCAAAACCAAGGTTGGCTTCAAAAGCCAGTCCTCAGAGCCACTCATCTTGCACCGTGAGCTGAACGATGCCCTGAACTCATCCTCCCAAGCCCTTCTGTGCCGGCAGGACAAGGGCAGGGCAGGAGGCACCGCACCGAGGGCACACGGGCTCCGCTGAGCCGGGGGTCGGCCAGCCCTGAAACACAAAACTGAAAAGAATCCACGAATCTGCAGCCATAAAAAAAGGAACCTGCGGCTGGGTTCCTTTTTCCTGTTTTTTTCATTTGGGAGGACACTGCAATGAACATGGGATTATTATGTCTCAAGAGTTCACCAACTCCTCATTCCCCGAAGGCAGCGATAACCTCTCTCCAACCATCTTCAGCAGTTGCAGAGCTCATTTTCAGGCACCAGACAAAGCACGGGAGGCAGCCGGGACGCACTCAGGGGTTGGTGTTGAAGATCCCTCCATGCAAGCGCCCTCAGTACCAACGAGCAAGTGACAACGCACGGTGGGGCCACCGGCACGGCACTGACCTGGCAGCACCCCGCGCTCCCGAAAACAGGAGTTCAGCTCCGGGGTGAAGCGGGACTTGCTTCTTCATCCCAGGGCTGCTCCAGTGCCTGCCCAGGCTGGGAGCTCCTGCTCAGGGCTGTCCCTGGGGGACAGCACTGCTCTGGGTAAGGTGCATGTGTGTGCCATGGGAAGGTGTCACAGGGTGAGCATGGCTGAGAGGAGCCCGGCGAGCAGCAAGGGGCTGCATGCCGTGCCCACGTGCAACCCTACCAACACACCGGCAGCAAGCGGGGCAGTGGGCCCTGGCCCCCAGCCTGCTCCCGAAGCGGGGTGCTGAGCCAGGCAGGATGGGGAGCCTCTGCCAGCAGCACCGTGCTACATGGGGGCCTGATCCGGGCCTCCCCCCACACGGGCAGAGGGCTCTCGCTCGGCACTGCCCAAGGACACGCGTCCTCAACCGTGGGCCCTGGGCAAGGACATGCTCAACCCCAAGTCATCTTCCCACTGCGTGCCCCATCCAAGGTCTCAGCAGCCTCACGGCTGCACGGAGCAGCCCCAGCCCTGGCCTCACGCTGCTCATGGCCGGGCAGCAGCATCACTTGCTCTTAATAAGATAATAACAATAAAAAAGATTAAAACCCAGAAAGAGAAGAAGCAACGGAATAACACGCTGTGTTTTGTTTGGCTTATTTGTTTTGTAACATTGGAGATTGACACTCATGATTCTGCTCCTATAATTGCTTCTGCTGATGAATCTGGATTGTTTAATTAGAGTCTGCGCATGGAGCTCATCACTAATGGGTAATCATCAATTTGATGCCAAGGCTATCACTTCTTCCCCAAGAAAGTTGTCCCTCTCCGAGCGCAGCTAGTCCTCCCCATGGTGGGAGCCATTGCTCTTTCAGAAGGGTTTGCTGGTCCCGTACGCAACTCCTTGGTGCCAAGAGCAGCAAAGGACCAACCTCGTGCTCACCAGCTCCCTCAAAAGCAGAAGAACCTACCTCTAACCTGAAGTCAAGGCTAACCACCGCTCTTGGCAGCAGGTACTGCACGGAATACTTGGCTCACGGGACACCATGCACACCCGCGCCGCGCAAACGCCCCGGATTGCAAGGGGTTTTTGCTCCCTGGACAACGTGGTTGGCTTTTCCCCGGTGGAAGAGGGATGGTCCCCGGGGCCACGGCAGCCCTCACCCCCTCCCCGCAGCGCCGGCGCGGGGAAGTGTACGCGGTGCACTTACTGCGAGAAGGAGGAATCCACGCTGAAGTCCTCGGCGTGAGGCCTACAGAGCGAGAGCATCACAGGAGGTGAGGGAAACGCGCTGGTGCCGGGCAGAAACCAGA